GAAGAATGATTTAATTTTAAATTTCAGATTCAATTATGCTGACCTTGAACCCTCTTAGTTAACTTGCTTATGAATAGTAAATATTTTCCTGTATTTTTAAGTATTGGTCTTTGTCAAAATACTTATGATAGAAATTAACATTATAATATTTAAATATCTATTGATAAAGAATGCCTATTTATATTATTAAAATTGTTTGAATATTTTAGTTGTGGGTTAAATTTTCTTTCATCTGCTCTATTCCCTTGCTCTTCATTTGGTTATAATTAATAATAATTAAACATGGTGAGAATGATATGTACAAGCTTATCATTTTAATGAAAAATCCCCTTGACACAAAAAGCTACATAAAAGATTGTTTATAAATACTTTAAGCACTCAAAATGAATTACCCTAACATTTCTCTTGGTGATCTCTCTGCTCATTAACATTTTTCCATCAGATAATTCAATTCCTGAGAGAGGAATAAGGACTTCCCCAATGATATCATCTCTTGAAAACCTGTCAAAACTCAAGATTGTGAAGTGCAAGGCCAATTCTTGGATCTGGGTGTAGGGGATCCCATAAAATGTAAAGGTCTCATCAAAAGCTGGATCCAAGGTCTTTCTCAGCACTCTGGTTTTCACTTTATGCTTCTTCTCAGGGAGGATTGTCATTTTGATGTACGGGTCAGAGGTCATTGACTGCTCATCCATGGCTGGCAAGCCACAGGCCTCCTTAATATTTACCACGAATGTTTTTTTCTCAAAGTTGTATTCTAAGGAGAAGAAGAGGGTTCCCAACTTCTCTTGTTTCTCCTCTGAAGTAATGGAAGTGCTGGACTTTAAGCTATCAGGGGAAACTGCTTCTTTTTCTCCTTCTAAAAAGAGCTTTGGGGTCACATTCTCCAAATCAGAGGGGCTGCTGGCTTTGAGGTTGGTTTTGGGAAAATTGCCATTGAGATCTCTCTTCTCAAGATCTAGATGCAATGAATTCTTTGGCACTGCTGGCTTATTCTTTATTTCATTTTTATCATCTACTCCAAACTTCTTTTTGCTATTTAGATTTTCAGGGTAGATATCAACTCCCTTAAGCACATGCACAAACTTGTATGGAGGAGTCTTGTTAGACTTGGATGATTTTCTCTGACAGCAGATCCATGCAAAGAGAGAAACCGTGAAGACCAGGCCAAATGCACTGAAGATCCCCACAACGGTGGGGATTTCATCTGAAAAATTAAATGATGAATAGCATCCATTAAAGTAGCAGAGATGGAGACATGAGCCTACTTGAAAAGCATAATAGTAAAGGCAATTGCCTTAGGTTGGACAGATTGAATCACTCTCCAACTATTGTGCATATGAATGATGTACATATTTTGTAATAACTTCGGGTGTAAACATATCCCCTGAATAACACATAGAAAAAAAATACAATGGACTAGAAACTCCTTCATTTCAGCTGTGTTTCACCAATAAAATTAAGAAATGAAAGTAGGCTTGGGTCAGATATGGGGAGATTCTTAATGATCTTGACCTATTTTCTCAGGTAACATGAATCAAATACAACATCATGGGTCAGTACTAATTTCATATTTTTATTGATGCTCTGAGTATTTCTGGAAGCATCACTTACTATGGGACACTAAATGCACATTCTTCAAAGATTAAATGATTCTATATTCTTAGTAGCACGTTATGTACCCAGGATTCAAACAGCAAAAACCTAGTGACTCAGTGATTCACACAATTTTAAGGAAGTACAGAATATTATATCCCATAAAGTTATACAAATAATAAAAATAAACAGTGAAACAGTATCTGCCATTGCCCCAAACTCATTATAATTCTATCCCAATTATAGAACATTGGGAAAATAAATTACATAGATTAGGGGGAAGAAAACAACAAAAAGAGCAACAGGATGCTAATGTTATATAACTTATAACACTATCTTGTATTCCAACTCCAAATCTGTAAAGGAAACACTGACTTATCCAAACTACAAATCAATTACACTTAAATATGGTAAAAACAGAACAACAGTTATACAGGAATCATCATTCCTTAATATGAAATGAGAATAATGAGGATAGATAATTTAGAGTTCAATTTTATCTATAACTGAATTTTTTCCTAGCACATTTCCACTTGGAAATAGCAATCAAATTGAAATTGACATTACTTCCTTGAATAAGAGCACATTAAATTACTCATATTAGGTAGTATTTATTATGCATATGGTTTCATATGCAACCATATTTCTTTAAGAAACGATTAGTAAAGTGTGTCGTTAAAGGATTGCCATATCTGGACCTAGTGCATCAATTAAGTCAATATTTATTATAACAAAAGTGAATATAAGCACTGTAACGTTATGTATATTTAATTCTTTTTCAATACAGTTTTAATTTCAAATAGCAAATAATAAAGTCAAATGTCCCAGTACAGAAAGGGTTGAGACTTTTCTAAATAACTCCAAGAAGCCCAATCTTTTGTTACTTCCCTTCCCCATTCCCCAGATCCTTTGTTTACCTACTTCATATTCACAAAATTGAACTTAAAAAATATAAGATTAAGAAAAGATAAATAAGAGAAACATCTAAGAAGATAAAAAACCAGGCAAAATGATAACAAAAAATGTTGTAGTTTATTGATGTAAAGAAACTGAAACAACCAAAGATGAAATAAATCTTTGAATTCCCCAAATAGAAAAAAAAAAAATACAGTGAATGTTACAGAATGAGGCAAGAGCTAAAGATATTCAGCTAAACTTAGTATCAGCTTTTCAGTTCTTTTTCTTCTTATTCAAGTCTTTGTGGAAAAAAATCCACCCACCCCCACTCCTGGACTCTAATGATCCAGAGCAAGGGAGCAAAAGCAAAGTCATGAACTAAGACAATTCTTTATCCAATGTAAGAAGGACAATAAAAGCAGCAGAAAATGATTTCTTTCTAAATAGGCTGATAGCTCATGCTAGAACATAGTTTCATTAGCACTATCTCTAAAAATGTCCCAGTATTATTTTTTTTATGATTTCCAATAAATAATTGGAAATAAACACCACAACAAAATAACCCAATAACTCAATAGAAAGGCTGTGAGCAAAACTCATTTATGGCTATAATGTCACAAACCATCTCTGTTTGAAACACATATCAAATGGCAAAACAGTCAATAAAACGTGTAAAGATTCACCTACTTTCTATGCATTTCCTACTGAGAGGATCCCAAAGATTGTATCTGTGTTAATCATTTAATAACAATTATTACGTGTCTGTAGATATCACTCCTACTCACCCTGCTCACAAACTTCCATAGAATTCCATGATTTAAAAAAAAAAAAAAATACTTGCAAAGTAAGTACAACTCAGATGTCTTGCCTTTGGAATATAGCAGGACCTAAAAATATTGCTTATTCTAAGAAGTGCACTTAATTTTGTTTACTGAAATAGAGAAAAGAGCCATGGTGCAAAAAATTCGGTACAGAAAAAGGAAAAGTGACTTGGAAAATGAGAGCCCTAATTCATAGTTTCCAGCTGCTTTGAGCTAATTGTGCAACCTGCAACATTCCCCACATCTCTAGTTTTCTGTTACCTCCCCAGCAAAATAAAATAGGCTGAGCAAGTCTTTTTGAAAGTCCCTTTAACTCCACTACCATATAATTGTGTCTTTCACTAGCAATACATTTCAAGAATACAAGGAAAACACAGCAGAGACAAACATCCATCTGGTACACTCTGTAATAAAATACACATCCCAGTCTCTCAATATGTAAGTTATGCTTACGAGGATGAAACCCCTATTAATGATACATATATCTGCCTTTCCCTGATCAAATACAGGTTTACCTAGAAATGACAATCACCTACAACATAAATAAAACCAACTTAGGAACGACAGACCCCTTTGCCTTTACTTAGCACATGCTGTAATTTACAAAGCTTCCTGAACATTTAGGAACTTCTTGAAGGTGAACTCTAACAGAAGGCAGTTTTAAAGAGAAAGACACCCAGAAAAGGGAAACGTCCCCCCCACCCCCCCGCACCCCGCAACAAAACCCAAACCGCAAAAATAAGCCACAAATGCCTGTTCGGTGTCCGCACTTTCCTTTCAGATTAACTACCTAGTAAATCTATATTCAACATCCAGCGGGGGTGGGGGGTGGGGAGCACAGCCTACCCTGGAATATTCAAGGAACAACCGCAGCCATAAGTTGAGTAACTTGCTTACCAAATTCTTCCCGGCTGTTAGTGATCGGAGCCATTTTTTTACTGCGTGTTCTGTCCGAGGTGCTGAACAGAAAACCTCCTGGTTTGATTCGCTTGTCTGGAACTGAAGCGCTGGCTTTCCGAGTCCTGAAAACAACAGCGCGGAGCCCAGGGGACCAGCGCCTGGAACAGGGAGGAGGCGAGGAGGGAGGTCCACTCGCCCTCGCTCGGTGATTTGCCGCCCCTGTTCCTGTTTTGGCTCTTCTGAGAAGCTTGTCTCCGAGACTCCAGACGTGGCTGAAACCCGAATTGACGCAATCCTGACGCTACAGGGCTGAAATCAGCACCTGCCCTCCTCCCCTCCTTCCCCCCCTCCTTCTTGCTTCCTCTCGCTTCTCTTGAGGATTCAACACATACTCATCAATTGTTTTAACTATTGGGCTACTCGAGATTAGCCTGGCTGTTCTGTGGGGGCTCAGAGGCACCCGGAGATGAACCCCACCATTGATCCCCGTCAGTTTCTAATGTAGAAATCTCCTGATTACCTAGATGAATAAAAATGCATCTCTGAGTTACCAGAATGATATGATTTACAGAGGAAAAATGTCTGCATCAAGTGCCCAATTGCAAAACGCAAGAACATAATTTTTTGCTTTCTAAATTTCCTTTGACATGTTATACAAATGATACTAGTGCTTAGAAAAATCCACTGCAAGTTGATCCATTCGAAAAGATAGATTTTTCACTATAATCCCTTACGTTCCAATAAATTATTCCTCTAAACTAATAGACTAATGCTGACGCTGTTGCTCCTTCCTAATCTGTCAGCTTTCTTCCCTTTAGTATCTGACATTTGACCAGTTAAAGCACTTAGGAACAGATGGGAATAATCCCTTCTGTATTCAGACCTCACTGTCAGTTATGACTTTTGCATATAATGAGACTCCTTCTGGGTTGACATTTATGGTTTAAAGGCTTGACTTCTAATAGGCTCGTGCAAAATAGTTACAACAATCATACCAAAAATCTAAAATAACACTGATTATTATTGGTTATTATCAAGGGAAAAATGTAATTTTTTTTTAAATTAATGATATTCTTGGGGAAGAAGAACTGGGGAAAACATGTTGTCTGATTCTGATTAATTTGACTAGTGATGCCTTTTCAAAACAAATGTTTCACAATTTTTTCAAAAGAAAGGACTCAGTCTGTACCTCCAACTGTCAATTATTGCTCCTCAAAGAATTCCTTTGCTCTGGAGCTCAATAAGCAGATGACATTCAGTGTGTGCTGGGATGTGGAAGGAAGGGATACTGAGGGAGCTTCAGAAAGCTACTGTACAAGTGACAGGGCCCTACACATTGGCAAGCAGCCGGCCTGAGCATAAAGACGATGTCTGGGGAGACGTTGGCTTCAGTTCTTTGCATCATGGAAAATTTTATAAACCAGTCTTTTTTCTTTCCCTTTCTACTTGCTCCCACATACTTGGCATTTTAGTGTTCCAAGAATTTTTTTTTTTTTTTACTTTAAATCTTCATGCTATGAAAACACACAAACTAGTTTACAGTACCCACCCCCCACCCCACACACTGGCATGGTCTATGGTTGTGCCCTTATCTTTCCATTTTAAGCAGATTACCTGTTTAGTCAGTTATGCATGTACCTAGGGGGATCATTCCTGGGAAAATGCATCCATTAGATTAATGAGATAGTGGCATTTATTAGAAATGCATATCATAGGTAGACCAAATGTATGGTAGACTAAACTGTATGTTTTCTAGCTAAGTTACTGCTAACGTATGGTTAAACTCATTTGTTATAAACAGAAGTGTATGGTCTATATAAATTAGTGTTGCATCAATTTTGCCTTCAGATGGTAAAATGCTGTCATCTATAACCTGTCTAGATTATTCAAACGTTATTTCTGCAGAAACCCACCCCACTCTGTGCTGTCTTATTTCTGAGGACACATTGTGATAAGATTATCTTTTGCCCAGAGCTAATACTATTGTGACTATAGTAACTATTTCATTGCTTGCTTTGTAAGCATGTAAGCAAACTAAAAGAAATGTTATAAATTAAAATGTCTGAACTGTCCCTCATTTTAATTTGATTAATAACATTTTAGTTTTAAACCAACAGCATCTAACACACCTGATGAGGAGTGGGTAGCAGACCCTACGTTGAAAAATAAAAAGCCTGTAAGTTTCTTATGATTGAGATTCACACCCTACCACATTATTGCATTTGTTCTTCCATGATCCACCAAACAAATAATCAATCCACTGACGCTCACACTACCGCTTCTGCCAGGAGACTTGGGAGGAGGAGTTGTTGCTAGGTAACCACCTTTTCGCCACCCAAAACACACAGCCTCCAACAAGTTTCTGCTTTTGCAAACACAGACTGTTCTGTACAGGCGGCAGTGTTTACTTCAGAATGATTCTTTCACCATTAAAAGGATTCAACTTTTACCCTACAATTTTTTTTTTTTTTCCAGATTGGAAATGTCTGTCTATACATACCTTGAGGAAGAATTAGAACATTTGAATTTAATTTTAAGAAATCCAATTGAAATTAAAAGCTATTGATAACTCATCATATGATTGTTTTTATTGTATTTTATTCAGTTTATTAGATTTAATTTAATATATACTTTGACTTAATGAAATTATTAGTTTATTAGAAACTATTGGTTTTGTTAATGAAACAATTAGTTTCATTAGTTAATTAATTGTATAATTTTGTCTATATATTTCCATTTCCTTCTTTGAACAAAATTATCAATGAATGTATTTAAACCCTCTTTTAAACAAAAGAAAGTTTCAAAAGGTTTGAAAGTGTTAAAATGTTGTTGAGTAATCTTTAATAATGCCCAGATAATAATGCAAAAGCATTTTCCTGGTATGTAGGTGGAGTAGATTATAGTATCTGATAATGGAAGATGGATAATTGTTTTAATGTTCCATATCATTATATTAAGAATGCTGGGTCTAATGCTAATGGAATAGATTTCTATTACAAGCACACCCTCGTCAAAATCCTGCAAGACAAATGCTTTCTCAGTTAATATTGCAGAAATCCTTTCACCATGCATCTTACTACATTTGTTTGTTTTCAACATATTCAGCAGTCATTATGTGCTTTTAATGGCTTGTGAATGACTATGAGCCTAAACAACAAACAAACAAAACAAAAACTTACATTTTACTTCCTATCTTCTTTCTTTCAACACGTATTTATTAAATTTGTACTACTCCTAGATTTTTTGCTGAGTGCTTTATATTGGTCAAGATATTTTTAAAAATATATTTGCTCTCATGGAGCTTACGAACTTCAAGAGGCGTTGACAACTCTTCCTCTAAAATTAGAAAAAAATCTTATTAGATAATTAACATCCTGTTTATTTTACCTGGTACTTTCTACAAAGTCTAGTCCTTGGTCTTCCCCAGCCCCATCTGGCCTGTCCCCTGGACTCTGTTTGTGCACATGGATTCATTCTGATTCTTACACAGTTTGTATTCTTCCGTTCCCTGTATCTACCTACAATGTTTTTTCCTTTAAGAATCAGGTGAAGCTTCATTTATACTGTGCATCTTCTGACTTACCAGCACTCATGAATATCTTCTGATTTAAATTCCTCTAACACTATCTCTGATGAAATCTTTTAAGTTCTCTTGACATGGCCTTGATCCACATACCAATAATTCCCAAAAAGATAAACCAAAGACCTTCATTAATGTTAAACTCTGATATTACATAAGATTCCTATTTTTTTTTTCCTGATCATTTCTACACCAATGTTTGGATGACTTTTGCCTTTATTTTATTTTTTTTATTTCAGGCCTACCTTTAAGGTATCATCTTTGAATCAACTTCTGCAATTCTTAGATCTTGGCATAGCAAGAATAATTTGATAAAACCATTCTTAAAGATTTTTCTCTTCCAGTTTATCTGGAAGGTATTTCTTGTTAGCTCCTCCTTCCCTTTTATAATCTGTTGCTCTCTTAGCTTTCAATTAACATGAAAAAATTAGGATAGGGAAATATAGGAACAGCATTGTGAAAGTACACAGCGACAATTGAGAGGAAGCAGTTTTAAGACTAATGCACCAAATAACTTACCATCAAATACAGAAAGGAAAACTGTGATGAGTACTGAAGAGAAATAAATAGACACGTAATTTATTAGTCTGCTATATGCAGACATTATTACTTCCATCAACCATGTGCAGATTATTTTAATTATAGGTTTGGACCACATATTTGGATGGAAAAGTGTTTTTTTTTTTTTTTTTTTTTTTACCAATAGTTTTATTTTTTATCAAACTGTCAAAACCAAATAATTTTTAAAGCATGCAAACTCCTAGAGAGCAGGGAAATATTCTCAAATATTTAATACATGATTAATATGAGAAGATATATATATATA